CAATTAGCGCTGCCCCTCTAGAGTGCCTCGAGTCGCCTCTTGGGCCCCCCCAAGAGGCCAAAATCCTTCCAAAACCTAGGTAAAATCAATGTTTATTGTTTCGCTCTTGGACCCGTCTTGGGAGCCTCTTGGGCCTCTTGGGGGTCTCTTGGGAGCCTTTTGGAGGCCTCTTGGGCGCCTCTTGGGGCCTCTTGGGGCGCTCTCGGGGCGCTCTTGGGGCGCTCTTGGGAGCCTTCGGGGCGCTCTTGGGGCCATCTTGCAGGAGATCGATCAGAGAAGAGGGGGTCCCCAATTAGCGTTGCCCCTCTAGAGTGCCTCGAGTCGCCTCTTGGGCCCCCCAAGAGGCCAAAATCCTTCCAAAACCTAGATAAAATCAATGTTTTCTGTTTTCTCGCCTTTTCGCTCTTGGAGCCGTCTTGGGTCATCTTGGACTCTCTTGGGGCCTCTTGGGGGTCTCTTGGCAACGTCTTGGAGGCTTCTTGGGGGCCTCTTGGGGTCTCTTGGGGCCCTCTTGAGGCCTCTTGGGGCGCTCTTGGGGCGCTCTTGGGAGCCTTCGGGGCGCTCTTTGGGCCATCTTGGAGGAGATCTATCAAAGAAGGGGGGGGTGCTTATTAGCCCCGCCCCTCCAGAGTGCCTCGAGTCGCCTCTTGGGCCCCCCCAAGATGCCAAAATCCTTCCAAAACCTAGGTAAAATCAATGTTTTGTGTTTTTTCGCCTTGTCGCTCTTGGAGCTGTCTTGGGCCATCTTGGACGCTCTGACACCTCGCGACCGGCCCCGTCCAGGTCAGTGGGGAGGGGTAAGGGGAGGGGTAAACCCCTCCCCGAAGGGGAAGAAGGGGGTTGGCAGAGGAAACTCCCTAGACCACCTACGCCCTAAAGGGCTGGTGGGATTACCGAGTAGCCCAGGTCCCCAGGCACGGGGCGATCCACTTTTCCAAAGACCCCCCCGACCAACCCGCCCCGTAGCAGCGGGAGAGAGGAGGGAGGAGGGAGGAGGGGGGAGAGGGGAGGAAGGAAGGGAGGAGAGAAGGAGGAGGAGGGAGGAGGAGGAGGAGAGGAGGAGGGGAGGAGGAGGAGGAGGAAGGGGAGAGGATGGAGGAGGGGGGAAGAAGGAAGGAGGGAGGAGTAAAGAGGATGAGGGGCAGGAGGAGGAGGAGGAGGAGAGGAGGAGGAAAGGTAGAGGAGGAAAAGGAGGAGGAGGCAAGAGGAGGAGAAAAGAGGAAAAAAAGAAGAGGAGGAGGAAGAGGAGGAGGAGGAGGGGCAGGTGGTAGGGGGCAAGAGGAGGAGGAGGAGGAGGAGGAGGAGAAGGACTTTCGCTGCCACCGATGCTGCTAATTTTTCTCTCGTTTTCTCTCTCTCTCTCTCTTTCTCTCTCTCTCTCTCTCTCTCCCTCGCAGTTCGGCGCTCTGATTCACGCTGCCGCCTTCGCGTGATCACGCTCATTGATAGGATCGACAGAAACGTAGGATGGAAGGACGGCCACGACTACCCTTTGGGTGCTGCATGTTGTCCCGGTTCCATGGACATGTTGTTCTGGGAGCGCGTAGTTGGGACCCCCCACCACTCCTCCAGCGAGGAGGAGGAGCGGCAGGAGGAGGAGCGGCAGGAGGAGAGGAGGAGAGGAGCCTCCCTTCCCGTCTTTGACGGTCTAGGGCGTTGTCTGATGTGTTCGTCCGTTCTTGGGACTCTCGGAGTTGATCGATAGCTTCCGAATGGCTCTCAAAGTTTTGCAGACGAGGTGGAGAACGAGGAGGAGGAGGAGGAGGAGGAGGAAGAAGAGGAGGAGGAGGAGGAGGAGGAGAAGGAGGAGCGGGAGGAGGAGCGGGAGGAGGAGGGGGAGGGGGAGTTGCAGGAGGTAACCACCAGAAGCAGGAGGAGAAATGGACGGGGAAAGGCACTGATCCCCAGTGGACGGAGCAGCAGCAACAGCAGCAGCAGCTCTCCCCCCCTCGCGGTCCGGTGCACCCTGGCCCCAGGTCCGGCAGTTCAAGGACAGCGTCGACGGCCTTAGGAGCGCCGGGGCCCAAGACCGACAGAAGGGAGCGAGCGAATCGGGCATTTAATCAAGGAGACGAAAAGGAGGAGGAGGAGGAGGAGGAGGAGGAGGAGGAGCAGTGGGAGGAGGAGGAGTGGGAGGAGGAGGCAGTGGGAGGAGGAGTGGGAGGAGGAGGAGGAGGAGGAGGAGAAGGCGGAGGAGGAGGAGGCGGAGAAGGAGGAGGAGAAGGAGGAGGAGGCGGAGGAGGAGGGAGGAGGAGCGGGAGGAGGAGGAGGAGGAGGAGGCTGACCAGATCAGATTGCGGGCGGTTCCAGCACGACGTGGAGTGACGTGGAGGCCTTCCCCATCGTCACGGCGCCGATGGTCGTCAGACGGTTGCGATGCAGACCCTGCCCGCCGACAGGGTCGGGTCGGAATTGGGCAGTCCACAACAGAAAGACAGCGTCATGCCTTCAGGAGCATCGAAGAAGAGAAAACGGCAAAAACATACGCTGTCGCAGGTCCGCGATGCTTTCTTTGGTCGGCGCCCAGCTCTCCCTGGCGGCGCCTCTGACGCCGCCCCTGGCGCGCTCCGCGCGCCGAGAAATCCGCTCTGACATCAGAGAAATTCTCGACGCTTCGCGTAACCCCACCAGTCATCTCAGCCCTCCCGCAGGGTGGTCCGGGGCTCGACCAGTGGTTGCAGCTGTATCACCCCGACTTTCAGAGTCAGGCTAGTTGCAGGTCGTGGAGTCAGAAGACAGGGCCACTGTTTCCTTGAATAGGACGGTCGCTCATGCCCAAGTACTTCCTATGAGTCCATGTGAGTGAGGCCTCATTATGTTCCCCCCCTCTCCTGTCTCCGCGTGCCCTCGCGCTCGCCGTGCCTTTCCCGTTCCTGCGCCTCCTCGTCTTGTTGGATGGTGCGGCCTTCCCGGCCCCTCCGTGCCGCCACAGTGCGGCGTGATCCACGCCCTTGCGCGCTGTTCGGTACGGTCAGAGCTGGCGCCACTTGTGCGACTTCTCTTCCGTCTGTTCCCCTTTTGTCGCCTGCGTTCCCCGATTCCGGGTCGCTTGCGTCTTAATGAGGGTCATTTTGTCCTTGGCACGTGCACCCGCTGCTGCGGCCTATGCGCCGTTGCCGCTAATTTTCTCGCCCTGTGCCCCAGCCGAGACCGTCCCGCTCTCTGGATCTGTCCTTTGAGCCGCCAAACAAAAAAATCACCCCGCCAGCTCGCAGCTCGCAGACCCTGGCCGCCGACCACCCTGGCAGCCAGCCCATCTTTGCAGCGCGTTGCATGCGTGCACCCTGGCTGTGCAGCTCTTCAGCAGTTGCCGTCAGCCCCCTTTTCCACTCGCTGGCCTTGCCGCCGAGGTGCCGCGTGAGGCTTCGGCCCACCGCTTTAGGTTAATTCGTCTTTGCGCGGCCCGCTCTGACTGGACTCGCCGCTGGCGCTCTCGCCTGCGGCCGTTGACTAAAAAAGTAACCCCGCCAGCCCAGCCAGAACCGATGCCCAGAGGAATTGCCTCGATCAGGGAAGTGGGCAGCACACAGAGGAAAGGTCCCCCACTGGAGGCCTTTTGGAGCGTCTTGGGAGCCTTTTGGCGGTCCCGGACGCCTCTTTAGAGCGTCTTGGGTGCCTCGGAGAGTTTCTTGGGGCCTCTTGGGGGTCTCTGGGTAACCTCTTGGAGGCCTCTTGGGCGCCTGTTGGGGCCTCTTGGGGCCGTCTGGGCGCCTCTTGGGGCCCTCTTGGGAGCCTTGGGAGCGCTCTTGGAGCCCTCTTTGGGCCATCCTGGAGCCATCTTGAGGCCTCGAATGGCCATCGCAAGCGAAAAGGCGAGAAAACCAAAAACAATGGTTTCCCCAAGGTTTTGGAAGGAGTTTGGCCTCTTCGGGGCCTCCTGGGGGGGCTCTTTGGCCACTTGGAGCAGTCTTGGAGCGGTCTTGGGGCCTCTTGGAGCATCGTGGGAGCCATCTTGAGGCATCTTGGGATATCTTGAGCCATCTTGGAGGTCATTTTGGGTTCTCCCAGGCGCCCTTGGAGTCATCAAGAGCAGTGCCCCCCCCAAGGAGGCCAAACTGTAGCCAAAGTCACTGATTTTTTTCATTGTCACCGACGCCTCTTGGAGCGTCTTGGGTGCTTCTGGGGGCCTCTTGGGTAGGGGTCTCTTGGGAGCCTCTTGGGGGCATCCTGGGGGCCTCTTGGGGGCCTCATGGGCCTCCTCGCCACCTCTTGGGGCACCCTTGGGAGCCTTGGGAGCGTTCGTGGGGCCATCTCGGAGGAGATCGATCAAAGAAGGGGGGGTCCCTATTTAGCGCCGCCCCCCCAAGAGGCCAAAATAATGCCAAAACCCTGGTAAAACCAATGATTGTGGCTTCCTCGCCGAGGCCGTTTTGGACGCCCTGACCGCTCGCGGGGCGCCCCGTCCAGGTCCAGGGGAGGGGGTAGGGGGAGGGGTACCCCCCCCCGAATGGGAAAGAAGGGGGTTGGAAAAGGAAACGCTCTAGACCACCAACGCCCATAGGGCTGTGGGATTATGTTTGTGCCTTTGATTATTCCTCTCATGGTTTGCGCCGCTTCGGGAAGATGTTGGCAATTACCATGGATTCCCTAGTCGAGTCCGTTATCGTCGCATATGTCCGTTGAGGTGGCCGTGGCGGAATGCGAAGGCCATTGAGACGCCGGCAGGCGTCAGAAACGCGCGCGCGCGCACCAGGCGGTGGCATAGTTCAAGTGCCAGCGTTTTTTTTACGCCGGCCATAACGAAGCGGCAATCGCATCCTGATAATCAGCATCATCAGCAGCATCATCCTCATCGTCAACGTCATCGCCATCATCACCCCGATCGCCCCCTGCACCCCGCTCCTCCTCCTCCCCGCGGCTGTCGGGCTCAGACGCAGAGCGCCGACCCGTTTTGCGCGCCAGGTGGGACCTCCGCGTCGCATGCGCGCGCATTGCCGCGCGTGAGTCTCGGAAGGCCTCCAACTGCCTCCGCCGCGCGCGCGCCCCGCAGCGCTGCTCGGATGGGGTGCGGCGAGTCCAAGGCGACCGCCTGCGTGGCGACGGAGGCCGCGGAGGTCCCCCGCGAGGCCGCCACTGGCGCGGCCGAAGGCGGGGGGTCAAAGAGCGCCTATGCAGATCGATGGTCGAGGTCGTCGAGCTTTAAGGGGCCTTCCTGGTCCTGCCTGGGCCTCTGCGGGTCTCCTCTTCGCCACGGCGGGGTTCGCGTCGGACTTCCGTGGCCAAAGCTCACCCCAGGAGAGGTCCAGTGGCCGATCTGAGGGCCAAGGAGCACATTTGCACCCCACCAAATTGTTCCCGTCCCTAGTTCTCCTCCTCCTCCTCCTCCTCCTACTACTACTACTACTACTACGACTACTACTACTATTACTACTTCGACTACCACTACCACTACTACTAGTACTACTACTACTACTACTACTACTACTATTACTACTACTACTACTACTACTACTACTACTACTACTACTACTACTACTACTACTACTACTACTACTAATACTACTACTACTATTACTACTACTACTACTACTACTACTACTACTACTACTACTACTACTACTAACCTACTACTACTACTACTACTACTACTACTACTACTACTACTGCTGCTACTACTACTACTACTACTACTACTACTACTACTACTACTACTACTACTACTACTACTACTACTACTACTACTACTACTACTACTACTACTACTACTACTAC